TACTTTAACATATAAATTTAATCTGTTATAAATCAAACAGATAATTTTTTTCTATCACTCTACACCTTCCATATCAACAAAAAAAAAAACCTCCATATTATATAAAAGTTATGAGGACACAACACCTAAAAAAGTTGGGGCGGATGTTGTAATAGGCCCTACACACATAAACAATCTAGTCTTCTGTTTTCTTCTTATTCACTTCTCAACACATATAGAAATTCTTTTACAACACAATATCTTTTCACATAACATATAAAACACAATAAACACCGTCTATCCTCTAAAACACTACTCCCACGATCACGCCACAAACATCCGCTCCTTCAAAACACTTACAAAACCCTGATCAATAACGTATCATAAAAATGTAAAACCCAATAAGAGCTGGACGATAATCATACACATCTGTGGAAGGGGATCCGGGGAATACAATAAGAATATCCCTGGGCACATAGTCCTCGTCCTGTTCCGATCCAACCGATTTACGATCACGTCGCGATCATCGTCCGGCTCTCTTTCGCCTTTTAAACCAATTTTGTATTTTTTTTAGTTTTGTTTGTTTTTCCTTTACTATTATTGTATCATGTGTTTTTAATAATAAAATAATCAAAGATATTTTTTTATACAAATTGGTTATTATAATTCATACTTTCTTTATTGTTCCACGAGTAAATTATTGTATCAATGAGGATTATATGATTAAGGTAAGAACATCCCAATTTATTGTGCATGTATTTAAGATAGCAAGTGACCCTCGAACAACACACCCGAATCAAAAGTAACTCTCACTTACACATTTTTTTACACCAACAATAATAATCATTCCGACACCTTTTAATTTTTAGAACACTATTCCTTATTTTTATTTTTGTTTTACAACAGTTGGATCAAGTATTATGATATCTGACAGTGATTAAAATCACTATAAAAAAAAACGCTTCGATGCAAATCTTTAGATAGTGTTTAATTTTAAAAAATTGGTGGATTATTCCAAAAGCTTCATAAACTGCTAGTTCCTTATTAATATCCTGATTAAGATAAAGTATGTCGAATGAAAAAGGGATTATTAAAAAATATTATTTCTCATAAAAAAATTATGTTGATCCATACACTTTTCAATATGTCATAGCATTATAAAGTTAAAAATGTAAAAAATAAAATCGAGAATTTTCACAGAATAATAGCATTCGGTAGCCATTTTCACCGTGAAGATAAAATAAAGTCCGAAATTTTTTTTTCGCAGAATAAAGTAGATTACATTAACTTTAATTTAAGATATAAATAAAAGTGTCAGACTTTCCGGAACAGTTTCAAAAGTTAAGTTGAAAAAGTAAATTTTTTGTGAAAAAGTTGTCATTTTAAANAGTTATTTTTTTGTGAAAAAGTTGTCATTTTAAATGCCCTCCGTGGACAGAAAAAAGATCAAATTTACAAAAAAAATATACCAAATGATAGGTAAAGACATCAAGCATCTATAAAAAAAAAAATTATATTGATATGTTCATTTTTGAAAAAGTTATGACAGTTTTTAGTAAAAAAAATTAAAATAATTTCAAAATTTATCGATTTTTAAATTTGTAATTTTTTTGGAGGTTTCCCTCATTTAAGGGGAACGAGGGAAATTTTTTCAATTTTGAAGGGTAATGTCTTCGACTAGATACGATTTGTGATCTTTTGACGTATCGTTGAAAGAAATCCGTTCGGTGAGAGATGAGAAAAAGTGTAACAGACACAAAAAATAAAAAAAAAAAAAAACACATCATAGTAAAACCAATACCTTCTCAGCTTCGCATCGAAGCTAAAAAATAATTAAGAACAAAAAAAATTGTTTTAAATTAATACTGATTTTGATTATTAATATGTTAAAAATAAGCATAATGACATATTTAACCAATTTTTTTAATCGTTTAAAGTTGATTTTCGTAAATGTTTATAATGAAAAAAATAATTTATTTTACCATAACTATTAGCTCAATTGGCAAGTTTTATGAGATTTTAAAAAAATTATGAGAATTAAAAAAATTGTATCGTTAAGATTAATTTGCAGTCAGAAAGTTTTATAATTACTATTTATTGTAAATATATCAGAAAAGCTCAATATTTTTTTGCGTTTTAATAATAAAAGATAACTTAAATAGAAGTAATAGTATTATTTTCCTAGTAACTTTTGTTGTTTGAAAAGATTCTACAATTGAAATATTAAGAACTTAATTAATTTTAATGATTTACTTTAACTAAATGAACCAATCAAAACAAAGTTGTTAAAAAGATTTACTCAATTGAGCATATTATAAAATTTGATTATAATTGTAAAAATCAATTGTTAATTCAGGAGAAAAAACATCATTTTTTTTAGAAATGATTTATATAGCAACATGTTACAAAAAAATTTGTAATATTATAGTCTTGTAGTAGCACACACAAATAGAGTAAAAAAATTATTAAATTACAAAATAAAATGATTTAATTTTGTAGTTGAAACCTATCATATCAAACTTCATTCGTTAATAAATATTTTGAAAACATTAGAAATTANATTATCATATTAAACTTGATTCGTCAATAAATACTTTGAAAACATTAGAAATTAATGATTTTAATTGTCTGTATGGAGAAAATTGTATAAGTAACTGTTTAATTGATAAATTAAAAAAGGTCAAGTTAGAGCAGAGAAAATAAATGATAGTCACAAAAAAATATCTTCTCAGCTTTGCATCGAAACTAAAACTTAAAATATAGTAAAATAATTTTAATACGAATAAGAAATTTCTTCTTNTAAAATATAGTAAAATAATTTTAATATGAATAAAAAATTTCTGCTCGTGAGTTCTTCACAGTGATGGGATCCTTGATATTTATTGAAGTTATTGAATCTAAATGAGATAAAAATCAAAGCAGATGAAAATTTATACTAACTTAAAAAGAATTAAGAAATAATGCAAAAAATTCATTGCCATACGCGGGTTGGAACCTCGTACCCCAAGCATGTAAAACAAAAGTTTTGCCATCTCGGCAACTGCACGTTACTACCGACGGTTGAAAAAATTGGCTATTTAAGCTAGTTTAAATTTTAAAGTTATTTTTCTCAATTTAAAAGAACCAAACAAATTTAAATAATTATAACTTTCTATGCTATATTAATTTTAATTTATTTATAATATTCATGAAAATCTGTACTCCCTTTGTCAAGTATTTTAAAATAAAATAAAATACAAAACCCAGAATTTTAACACAAAAATAGCAAATTTTTGAATACGGTAGTCATTTTTACCATGAAGACAAATCCAGAGGTCAAATTTTTTTTTTCAAAATAAGTATATTATATAAGCTTTAATTTAAGATTTATATAAAAGTTTCAGTCTTTCCGGAACATTTTCAAAAATTAAGTTGAAAAAGTTAATATTTTGTAAAAAAGTTACCATTTTGAAACCCTTCCTATGGGCTGTTAAAGGGTCAAATGTTCACAAAAATATATAAAATTATAGGTAAATATCTAAGGTATCTATAAAAAAAAAATTATATTGATTCAGTCATTTTTAAAAAAGTTATGGCAATTTTAAGTAAAAAAAATTGAAAAAATATAGAAAATTAGCGATTTTTAAATTTGTAATTTTTTGGGGGATTTCCCCCGTTTACGGGGAACGAGGGANTTGTAATTTTTTTGGAGTTTTCTCCCGTTTACGGGGAACGAGGGAATTTTTTTCAATTTTTAAGGGTAATGTCTTCGACTAGATACGATTTGTGATCTTTTGACATATTTTTCATCAAAATCGGTTCATTGAGAGCTGAGATTGAGTGTATACAGACAAAAAAAAACACATCATAGTAAAATTAATAGCTTCTCAGCTTTTTGAATTTTTACATAAAAATTACATATATCGTTAAATTTGACGGCAATTTTTCCATAGAAGAAAAGGTCTCGAGAAAATTTTGTTTTTTAATTTTAGTAAAGTGGATTTAGACCATTTACGGGAATATGGGCAAAATGTTCAATTTTTAAGGGTAATATTTTCAACTGGAACGATTTGTAATCTTTTGATGTATTGTTGAGAAAAAATTGGCCAAGTGAAAGCTCAGAAAATGTGAGGAGACATAAAAAAAATAAACACATCATGGTAAAATTAATACCTCCTCAGCTTCGCATCGAAGCTAAAACATTTCGAGTTAAACGTTTTGTGACATTTTTAAATTCATTTTTTTTTTAGAATCTTTGAAATATTTTAATTTATAGTTCTTGTGATAGTATTGTTTTATTTGTTTAGATTTATCATAGAAAATATTATTAATGTATAACCAATTATACAACCAATTAATTTTAAATTACGCTGAATTATAGAAGGTTAAAAGTTGAAAGTTGTATGGATATAACATTTTATAGCCATATACCAATAAAAATAATACATCAATGCTTATCAGATTAGCGTAATATCTGTTTTCTTTTGCGTCATAGGCTCAACTAGATTATAAATTTTAGTAAAGTTAAATTTACTTTAATCCAATCCATAGCATTATAATATATATGTATATAATTTTAGTATTCCGTCAACAAATATTTTAAATTTTTTTATAAAAACTCTTTTAGGTAGGATTTCTTTTTAAAATTTAATAAAAATTAAAACTTTTTTTAAATAAAAATGCGGTGTTAAAATTACCTTATAATTGAGTGTTCTTCGTAATAATATTTTTTTAATGGATAATTAATGTAAAAATATATAGTAGTGATATGAAAGAGCAATTTAGTATCGACATCATTTTTTAATTTTTACAATAAATGTTAAAATAGTTGAGAGCAAGAATATATCAAAATATAAAATAACAAAAATTATTTAAAACATTCTGTAACAAGAAAGTTATCGATGTAATATATTCAATAGCAAAAATTGTATGATATCCAAAGAACGCTCTTATTTGAACATGTGCGTTTAAATATTCTAATTCAAAAAGTTGTTCATTAATGAATTGTCAAGTGTATAATAACAAAAAATGGGTTTATTTACCAACGGTTACAATCGGATGTCTTCGAGGAACCATACCAAAACTATATTGAAAAATTCCGCGGCCATTGGGCATAAATTTAATATCTTTCATTGTGAATATTTTTAATATTTTATCTCTAATTGTATTTGGTTGTAGTTTTATCTTTTCATAGACATAATTTTCTCCATATGAAAATACAGGTACTAAAGATGCTCTGCGATTACAAATAAACAAAATATAAATAATTATTATTCCCAATTTAAATGTCAATATAAATAATGAATCAAAAATATTTCTTTAAATATGAAATTTTGTTTAATAAATTCAATTTTTTTTAAATTAAAATACAGTTTTTGAATTTTTTTATAATTTTTTATGTTTTGGAACAATATTTTTATTTTGCATAGATATAAAACGAAAATATTCCTGCAGAATTACATTTAAAATTAATTTTTAAGTAAAAAACTAATTTTTGTATATTTATTTTTACATGTATATTAAAGTGGTTCTTAATTTTCAGTATTAGAATTTTATCAGCCCTACCCCCTAAATCATTTCATATATGTACAAAAAAAGTGCACAAAATTTGGAGTATATTGGTTAAGTTCAACACGTACCCCCGCCATTAAAGTTGAAGAACACTCTTTGATGAATTAACCATGTTTTTTTCAGTTTTTAATTTATATTTCATTACAATTTATTCATATAAAAATATGCGTAAACATAATTTGTAGAAAATTTAATAAATAACATTTTTTACTCTACGTAGTTTTTTGATTAATATATTTTTATTCAAATAATCAAAGATGAAGTATAAAAAAATTTAACCTAAAAATATTTATTTAAAATTTTTTATTGTATCATTTAATAACTATTTACCAGAGGAAATATTACTTAATTATTCATTAAAAATAGTAAATACTAATTTTAAAAATTGAATTAATAATTAAAAGTAAATTTTAACTTATTTCAAAATTAGAATGGTTTTAAAATCGTTGATTTCAAACATGTGGGATATTTACGACGATAATTTTCTACAACTTAAAGCACAAACCTTTTTTGGTCTTCTTTTTTTGTTATAATTGTATTGAATTCTTCCATAAGTTTAACTCTTCTTATGACTGTGTCATTAATAACACGAAGTGTCTTAAAAATTTCGAGACCTTTTAATTTAATTACTTAATTATATAAAACATTAATTATTTTACTTATATCAGAAGTATTGTTTGATTTTATAGCTACAACCATTTTAGTTTTAGTTTCAACTATTAAATTAGTATAGAAAATGCTAGTGCCGATGATTTGAAAGCTAAGTACACAAATGTTCACATAGTTTTTTTAAAGTTATCTGAAATATATTATTATCAATCTCTTGCTAGTTAATAAGACTTCTCAACAATTTAAGGACTTGAGAAGGTGCTAATGATACAATAAGGTGCACCAAAACTATGTTTTTAATATATAATCGAATGAGAAATATATAAATATTTTCAAATGAATTTTCATCCTTTTTTGATAGTTTAAATTGATCACGAAATATAAACATTTTTAGTGAATTTATGACTTTAACATCCAACGAGCATAATGCATTGCTCCAGGATATTAAAAATATGTGCTACGAGTAAGAGTACTACCAAGAAATACAATAGCTAATTCCAGCAATACTGTATAATCGTATATGTTTTGAGTTTTGTTTAATTGATCCATATAAAATTCTAATATATTTAAATATTTTTTCAGCAATATTTATTAATTTATCAGTATCCTCAATATTATTGTAATAATAATATTGATAGTAATTATCGACGGAATTTAGAGCTGATATTTTTTCACTGTTTACAGTGCACTCTAAAATAAATCAAATTTATGAAATACATTAAATTAGTTGGTTTACAAATTCAAATTTTATAATTCCAATTATAACTTAATTAATTATTCAATTCAATTTCTTTATAAGATCATTTTTTTCTTTTTAATTTTGTTTCCAACCGCTTTTCTGTTCTCTCTTCATTTTTTTTTAATTTTTGCTAAGCGTACAGCAAACACTGCCTATTTTTCTTAGAGATAATAAAATTACCGATCTAAGGTAATTTAGTCCAATATCAAAAAGATTATCCAACTTCTCGATAAAATCAATTTGTGTTTTTTATATTTATTTCTGTTTCTCATTATGGACGTTTCTGTAAAGTTCTATATTTATTATAAAGTGATTCAAAAATGTTAATATAATTGTACACTTTTGCCAAAATACAGTGATCTCTCAATTAAAAACTTAAGCACTTTTATGTAAGTTTGACTTTACGCACAATAAAAACTCGTATAGCTCGTCTTTTTGAAGATAATTTACTTCCAATCATTTAATTAGTTACTTTTGATTAAAAAAATTTTGTCTTGATCACATAAGATTATATTTTATTTTGATGTCGAAGCCATATTGAAAACTATACTTTATTTTTAAGAAAAATAATATCTTCGACTGTCTTACGTATTACTTTAGTTTATACAATAACACTGATAAATGCGCTCTAATAGCTTATGATATTAAATAGCGTGAAAATTATACATTTTTGTTATCGCTTTTAATGTAAGTTTATTCATAGAAATACCATTCATAATTATTGTTTATGTTTAAGTATAATCCTAAAATTTCATATTATAGAACAACTAGTTTGTTAGTGAAATTTAGAAATAATTTTTTTTTTAATATTAATTGTTTTAATGTTATATAATCAATGAATTTTATATACTTCATTTTTAAAGATGTTAAAACTACTTAAGAAGGTAAGACTGAAACAAAAAAAATCATCTATATGTTGGAAGATCACTATTGTATATTTCAAAACCACCTACACTATTAAGATAAAAACAAAATATATTTTTTCAATAATCTAAAAAGTTAAGTTTATTGAATAAAAAGTGTTTTTAGGAAACAATTAAAATTAGTTGTTTAAATAACGCGATATAATTTAAAATATATAATGTCAATCCAACCGTACTTCAAATTATTAATTTGAAAAACGGTCTTGAAATATAATTTATTGAGTTCTATTTTACCCAGTTTTTAATGCGATACGAACAAATCCTTTTCTTTTATTAACTACTAAGTGAATTGGACCGGGGTATGAATTTAACGCTTCTGCTACTCCACCGACTAATAATACAACTGCGTTACCTTTTTTCCCTTTTAATAAGTTTACTAAACTCTTTTCAGATGCCTCTCGAAAACCTATCAATAAAATACAAATATTGTGATATTTATAAATGTTATTATAGAAAAATCTATTTATCTTTTAGTATTTAAAGTGCCCTTTTGACTTACCCAGTCCAAGACTTAATTCTCGATGTAAAGGAAGATAAAAAGATAGACTTAGAGTTATAATGTATGATTCTAATCCAGGGAAAAGTGTATTAAATGTACTTGCATTTGTAACAAAGTTTGAGAATACTCCAGGGCAAAGCACACCATGAGGAAAAGTAGCGAAAATGTATGATCTTTTATTACTAAGCTCGTGTGTTTTAACTAATGATACAGGAAAATATCGCCTGTAGTAAGACCATAATGTCCAATTGCGAATAAATGAAAATCTGTAAATTAATAAAATAGCTAAATTAAACTTTTGAAATATCAGTTAAAACTTTGCGTTTAAAAAGTTGAAAAAACCCAGCACAGAGGGGTCGCGGCACAGTAGTGACATGGCATAGATGGTTCAAGTATAATGATATCTGACAGTGATTAAAATCACTATCAAAAAAAAAACGCTTCGATGCAAATCATTAAATAGTGTTTAATTTTAAAAAATTGGTGGATTATTCTAAAAGCTACATGATCTGCTAGTTCATTATTAATATCCTAATTAAGATAAAGTATGTCGAATGAAAAAGGGATTATTAAAAAATATTATTTCTCATAAAAAATAATGTTAATACACTTTTCAATATGTCATAGCATTATAAAGTTAAAAATGTAAAAAATAATTTTTTTACAAAAATCGTATTTTTTTTTATCCACTTAAATAAAGTCCGAAATTTTTTTTTAGCGTAATAAAGTATATTACATTAACTTTAATTTAAGATATATATAAAAGTGTCAGACTTTCCGGAACACTTTCAAAAGTTAAGTTGAAAAAGTTCTATTTTCTACATGCATTTTTAGATTTAAAAAAACAGTATGTCGAATGAAAGATGTATATAAATACTACTTTTCATAAAAAAATTGTATTGATCCATACATTTTTCAAATAGTTATAGCATAATAAAATTAAAAATGTAAAATACAATATCGAAAATTTTCACACAAAAATAGCATTCGGTAGCCATTTTCACCGTGAAGATAAAATAAAGTCCAAATTTTTTTTTTTCATGATAAAGTATATTACCTTAGCTTTAATTTAAGATATATATAAAAGTGTTAGACCTTCCGGAACATTTTCAAAAATCAAGTTTAAAAAATTAATTTTTTGTGAAAAAGTTGTCATTTTAAATCCCCCCTGTGCGCAGGTAAAGGGTCAGATATAAAAAAAAAATATACCAAATGAAAGGTAATGATATCATATATCTATATAAAAAAGAATTATATTGATATGTTCATTTTTAAAAAAGTTATGGCACTTTTAAGTAAAAAAAAATGAAAAAATATAGAAAATTAGCGATTTTTAAATTTGTAATTTTTTGGGGGGTTTCTCCCGTTTACGGGGAACGAGGGAATTTTTTTCAATTTTTGAGGGTAATGTCTTCGACTAGATACGATTTGTGATCTTTTGACGTATCATTGAAAGAAATCGGTTCGGTGAGAGCTGAGAAAAAGTGATAACAGACACAAAAAAAAAATTAATTAATTAATTAATAAACACATCTTAGTAAAACCAATACCTTCTCAGCTTTGCATCGAAGNAATAAAACCAATACCTTCTCAGCTTCGCATCAAAGCTAAAATATTTGAAATTTTTAATGTACTACAAATTCTTTCAATTAAAAATGTATTTATATTTTGCGCCTATAGACTAATTGTAAGATTAATTTTTAACTCGTTATTGATTGAAATTTACTTGTGATTATATTATATTTTATTTTTTTAACTTTGATGCAAAGTTGAAAAGGTATTAGTTTTATGGTGTTTTTTTTTTTTTTTTTATCTCTTGCCACTTTTTCTCAGCCCTCAGCGAATTTTTTTCAACGATACATCAATATATAATAATAGATACTAGTTAAAGATATTTTCATTAAAAGTTAAAAAAAATTTTTTGTTCTATGTAAATAGGGTATATCCCCAAAAAAATTACGATTTTTAAAATCGACATATTCGACATTTGTTTAAACTTTTTTTTCTTAAAACAACCATAATTTTTTTTTAAAAAGGAACGATTCAAAATTAGATTTTTATATTGATATATTAGGTACTTCACTTTTATTTTGTATAATTTTTTGCAAATCTGACTCTTTACAGAGAGATTCAATTTAACTTATGAAAATATTCCAGAAATACTCTGATCTTCAAACGTAAGTTAAACATTTTAACATGTTAAAGTAAAGTTTATGTTATGTACTAGATGTCCAAAAAAAAATATTTGTTCCGCAAACTTATCTTCTAAGTACAAAAACTTTTTCAACATAATTTTTAAAAATGTTCCGGAAATATTCCGAGTATTGAATATATGTCAAATTAAAGCTTTTTTAAATAATAGAATTTAAAAAAAAAATTTAAAAACACATTTTCTTTTATGGAGAAATGGCCGCAGAGTTGTTTAAAAATGTAATTTATATATAAAAATTACCGTTTATCGTGTTAATATTTTGAAAATTTGATCCTTTACCAGCCCTCAAGGAAGATGTAATGTAGCAATTTTTCCACACAAGTTAAGTTTTTTCAATTTATTTTAAAAAGTATTCCGGTAATACTCTGAGCTTCAAACATATGTTAAATTAAAGCATATGTTACGTACTATAAATTTAAAAAAATAATGTTGTTTCAAATGGCAGCCATTTTCATATAAAAGATATTATGTGCAAAAGGCTACTGTATTTAAAAATATGATATTTTGTGTTCAAATTTCATTTTATTTTTGTTTATTTTAAAATACTTTACAATAGCTTGCCATAGTAATGAGTCCACCAATTTTTATATTTGTTACATGAATCTAACACATCTTTTATCTAATAAAAGATAATTTATATCTAATGAATACATTAAATATAAATTTAAACTTGTTTTGCCTTCTTAAAGTTAAAAAAGCGGTTTTAAATTTTTTAACTAGCTTAAACAGTTTTTTTATCAACTTATTCATATAATGCATAGTGGCTACATTCTATATTATACAGTCTTATACGCTTAGGGTACGAAGTTTAAACCTCACCAGTCAAAATAACTTTTTTTGAATTTTTTTTTAATTTTTTTTTGAGATGAAAAAAAAAATTCAAAGTTTGTTTGGTTTTTATCTCATTTAGATATTCAATCTATTTAAGTTATTCAAACTTCAATAAATATCAAACATACCATTATTGTAGTCTCTCCTTATGAGAAGGAATTTCTTATTCATATTAAAATATTTTATTACATGGTTTTTTTTGTGTCTCTCATTCATTTTTCACAGCTCTAACTTTTAATGATAAATACATCAATAGAAAACGATTTTCATCATGTTGAACTTATAATCAACAAATATTGAAAAAATTCTTTAATTCTAACAATTTAGACAAATATCTCAACATTTCCTTAATACTAGTGTTCCCTGTAGATAGGGGATAAGAATACTTCCAGGTCGACAGCCGGCGTAAAATTTTTGTCAAAAAGTATGACAAAAATGTATGTATAAAAGTATGAGGAGTCTTGAACAAAATTCGTGTCAAGTGGAAATTTAGGATAAGGGTGGCCAACCCTAAGTATTTGGGATTAAAGCTAGGAAAAAGAAGATCTCAAAATTATGCTACTTTAAAAATTATTCTTTAAATTAAATATCTCCAAATTAATAGAAGTATAAAATTTGTTTTTATATTGAATTACACAGTAAAACCATATCACTAAAATATTTTTTAATAAACATACACCCCTATATACTTTACTAAACCAATATTTTCAATTTGATTTAAAGTCTGAAATTCTATATTTTCTTTTACCTATTTTTTGACATTATTAGAAAGAAAGTATTTACACATGAAAAATTTATTTAAAAAAATTATTTTGATAAAGCTATTATTGACTTTGAATATGTTAAAAATAATCTATGCAAAATTTAAATTCAAAAGGTCATTTTTAACTTATATTTTTAATCCCTTAAAGTTAATTTTCATGAAAGTTTATAATTAAAAAATTTAAATTAAAAACTTAGTTTTAAATTGAAAATGTTATGACGATTTCAAAATTGTATTTTAGCTTCGATGCAAAGCTGAGAAGGTATTGGTTTTACTAAGATGTGTTTTTTTTTTGTGTCTGTTACCACTTTTTCTCAGCTCTCACCGCACCGATTTCTTTCAATGATACGTTAAAAGATCAAAAATCGTATCTAGTCGAAGACATTATCCTCAAAAATTGAAAAAAAATTGAAAAAATTTCCCTCGTTCCCCGTAAATGGGGGAAACATTCAAAAAAATTACAAATTTAAAAATCAATAATTTTCAAAAATTTTTCAATTTTTTTTACTAAAAACTGCCATAACTTTTTTAAAAATGAACATATCAATATAATTCTTTTTTATATAGATGCATGATATCATTACCTTTCATTTGGTATATTTTTTTTTTATATCTGATCCTTTAACTGTCCACAGGGGGGATTTAAAATGACAACTTTTTCAACTTAACTTTTGAAAATGTTCCGGAAGGTCTGACACTTTTATATATATCTTAAATTAAAGCTAATGTAATGTACTTTATTATGAAAAAAAAACCCAGCACAGGGGGGTCGCGGCACAGTGGTGACGTGACATATTTGGATCAAGTATAATGATATCTGACAGTGATTAAAATCACTATCATAAAAAACGCTTCGATGCAAATCTTTAGATAGTGTTTAATTTTAAAAAATAGGTGGATTATTCCAAAAGCAACATGATCTGCTAGTTCGTTATTAATATCCTGATTCAGATAAAGTATATCGAATGAAAAAGGGATTATTAAAAATTATTATTTCTCATAAAAAAATTATGTTGATCCATACACTTTTCAATATGTCATAGCATTATAAAGTTAAAAATAAAAAAATAAAATCGAGAATTTTCACACAAAAATAGCATTCGGTAGCCATTTTCACCATGAAGATAAAATAAAGTCCGAAATTTTTTTTTTTCATAATAAATCTATAAATCATAAATTTATTTTATCTCCATGGTGAAAACAGACATCAAAGTTAATAAAAAAAATACGATTTTTATAAATCTGACTTTTTACTTGCCTACATTATTATAAAGATAGTTATAATACGACTTCTCCTAAAACACTTCTTTATATTTATTTTCAATTTCAAGATTTATTGTTTTAATATAAGCTTTGTTTGTTGTATTAGATCATTACTGTTACTATCATAAATTAATTATTTACCTATCAATTTTTACTTTGAGATAATGTTATAAAATGACCTATTTAATTATCATCTAATATTAATTTATATGTATTTAACAATTAAGATCTTTATCGTGTTAAAAAAAAATAATACATTAATTATTTATTTTTTTATATATTTAACCCATTAGCATACAAAAAATGATAATTTTTTGAAATATACAGACAATCTGGTAAAAAATAATAATTACTTTTAAAAAAATATTTAAAATTTTAATGGAAGCTAATTGAGTGTATAACATTAAGTCAAATTTAAAACATTAAAACCAGTACCATTTAATAAAAATTAGGGGTACATGACATGACTCAGCTACACTACCTATTCAGTTACCAAAACTTCCAGTTTAAATTTTAAATTACAAATTTTAAAAGTAAAATTTACCCTATGTCAAATTTAATATATTTATATGGTTATTTTGTAAGAACAAGATTTTAGCATTCATTATAATTTGTTTACCTTTTTTTATCTGTGCATGCGGTATTTCTATCAAGAAAAATCCATATAATGTATAAAATGCTGATCCACCAAAATCTAGTGGCTAATGTAATGTATAACAAGCTAGTACATCCTATAAATCCTGTGAAAACTACAAGACTGATCCAAATCGCCGCTGCTAATGTTTCGAGCCTGCGGTTTAATGGTACAAAAAGTGGTGCGAACTCCACTTCCATTAATTTAGTTTTCATAGTCATTACACAAGTGCGTTTTAACAAAAATTTATATTAACTGAATTGCGAATAGGTTTGAAATTAAAACTAAAGAATAGTTTAGAATGCATGGATTGTTAGAACAAACTAAATGAAATCGTGTGTCAGCGATTAAATGTATTATACAATAATTTACACTACATCAATAATGTTTAGCTACTACAGTATTACACTATGTGTACCGATTTCAAGATAGTGTTTTTATTTAGCGTGAGTCAATAAAATAGACCTTTGTGTTATTATTGTGATAAACGAAATCAACAAAAATATTGCCAATGTTTATTTTTTTTAATTATTTAATCAATTATCATAATACTTATGATATTATTAAATTCTTAAAAATTTATATTATGCTTTTTAGATAGAAATAATAAAGTTTATATGACATATGAATTGTTTCTATAAAAGTAATTGAACAGATGATTTTTTGATGTCTTATTTGCGTAGTAGGAAAAATTTAATGTGATAGTAGTGATTTAGATTATTTGGGAGTTGATTGTAGAATATATTTCATAGGGATATTATCATCATCCTGAAATAAATGGTACAATATAAATTAGTAGCTTCTATTGCATATATATAATAATATACAAATTACCGAATACGATAATTAATGTACTTTCATAAGAACGGATGTGTCCAATAATTTTTTGTGATGTTAAAAAAATAAAAACTTATCTTAATTACTACATATGAGTGTAAAATCAATTGCCCCATAGTGGCTGTATTATGGCACAATGAATCATTCTCGGATGAATGTCCACACAGGAAATTTAACAGACACTTATAATAGTTTCCTCAGTTTGGCGATTTGATAATATTTCTAAAAATTAATTATTGATTTATCAATTATTGATTATTATTGAGTTTTTTTGTTACAACAATGGCATTTGTTTTTTTTTAGTTTAGATACAGAGTAATTGTATATCTACCTTTTTTGTTGATTTCGATCAATAAAATTGATAATGAATGTTGAACTTTATACGTATAAATTATCAAAAGAGTTAATTTAAAAATATTTATAATTTTATAATATCAAATATGTAATATATTCAAATAATAATAAATTTGCAATTATAATATTTATATGAATAAGGTCAAATAATATTGATACTGTAATGCGTTAACAATAGTAGTAAAATATAAGGCATGAAATAATTTAAAATTAACAGAAAATAATTAATTCTCTTAGGGACAAATTATTATTTTTATTTTGTAGCGTATTATCTTTTGTATAATACATATTTAAAAAATGCAGGATTTCTGGAACATTTTCAAAATTTAAGCCTTAAAAGTTATACTTTATACATCCATACAATTTTAAAAAAGTTATTGCAATATAAAGTTTAAAATAGAAAATCTAAAAACGACAAATAAATTATATTAAAATAATTAACTTAGTTAAATTTATATTCATAAAAATAGTATGTTGTTAATAACTACAAAAGAAACGGCGTTAGGGCAATTTTTTTTCTTTAAATTGTAGAAAGTAAAAAGAGTTTTAATTTAACATATATTTAATAATCTCAATGTTTCCAGAATATTTTCAAAAATTAAATAGAAATAATTAACTTTTTACGCAAAATTTGCTATTTTGAAACTCTCTGTGGGTAGTTTTACTAGCCTGATCAGATTTCAAAGAAAAAAAAATCTTAATGAAAGATAATTATATAAGGATATAATAAAAAATTATTTTGATTAATAAGTTTTTCAAAAGATTTATAGAAAATTTAAGTAAAAAAAAATTTAAAAATAACGAAACTATGAATAAACTTAAAATAAAATGAGATGAAAGTTTTAAGGGTATAAAATAAAATATAGTATAGTAAAATATGATGGAATAATATAATAATATGGTAATATAATATGTGGTTAAATACGGCAAAATATGTCAGGGTATAATGATATAAATAAAGAGCGGTTTCAAAAAGGTGAACAGTGGCTGAGCACATAAGGGTAATGGTCAAATAAATTAAATGAACACAAACGTTTATGACAAGAGAGTAGATTGATCTGGGGGGTTAGACAATATTGAATAAATAATGTTAAATATCCCTTTAAAAATTGTATAACTTTTCTTAATGGTTTATTACGTGATAGATTTGTTTGTGGTTTGAAAGTATAAATAAAACTTGTGCTTACCTTATATCCTATGTAACGTAACAAATTTCTAAACAATCAAAATTCATTTTAAATTTCACACACTGTTTCACACTATGCGTTGTATAGTCAATATGACTGTTTAAATAAACGATTTAATTTTAAATAATACGAGGTCGTTACACAAAATCTATGACTGGTAAAAAACTTATTATTATAATTTAATAATGTACCCATATTACATTTCCATTGAATAAATAGCACAGTGGGGTTGCAGTACAGTGTGAGCATGGCATTGTTGGGACAAGTATAGATGATATCTGACAGTGATTAAAATCACTATCATAAGAAATCATATAGAAGATAAGTCGTCGGGACAAATTTTTTTTTTTAACTTATAGTACATAACATTATCTTTATTGTAGTATATATTTAAAGCTCGGAGAATTTCCGAAACATTTTCAAAACTTAAGTTGAAAAATTTTAATATTTGTGCAGATGTTGCTATTTTGAATCCTCCCCTGTGCCCAGATAAAGGGTCAGATTTTCAAAACATTTATATAAAATGAAAGAAAAATATCTAAGGTTACAATATAAAAAAAACCAGCACAGTGGGAACGTATATATATAAAGGGAAATGGTTTTACTTTAAAAAAAAAATACATCGAATGAAAGAGGTATATAAATAGTATTTATCATGAAGAAATTATATTAATCCATATATTTTTCAAAAATTTATAGTATTCTAAAGTTATAAATGTAATATATAAAATGAAGAAATTTCATCGTGAAGATAAAATAAAGTCCGAAATTGTTTTTTTCCATAATGCAGTATATTACATTATCTTTAATTCGAGATATATATAAAAATGACAGTATTTCCGAGACATTTTCATAAGTTAATTTTTTTTGAAAAAGTTGTCATTTTGAATCCTCCCTGTGAGTAGATAAAGGGTCAGATTTAAAAAAAACCCAGCACAAGGGGTCGCGGCACAGTGGTGCCGTGGTATAGCTGAATCAAGTATAACGATAACTGGCAGTGATTAAAATCACTACCAAAAATAAACGCTTCGATGCAAATCTTTAGATAGTGTTTAATTTTAAAAAAATTAGTGTTTTATTCCAAAACCTACATGATCTGCTGGTTCCTTATTAATATCTCGATTAAGATAAAGCATATCGAATGAAAAAGGGTTTATTAAAAAATATTATTTCTCATAAAAAAATTGTGTGGATCCATACACTTTTCAATAAGTTATAGCATTATAAAGTTAAATATAATATAAAAAAAAAAATCGAGAATTTTCACACGAAAACAGCATTTGATAGCCATTTTCACCATGAAGACAAATCCAGAAGTCAAATTTTTTTTTTTCAAATTTAAGATATATATAAAAGTGTCAGACCTTCCGGAACATTTTCAAAAGTTAATTTTTTGTTAAAAAGTTGTCTTTTTAAATCCCTCCCTGTAGGAAGATAAAAGGTCAAATTTTCAAAAAAAATATACCAAATGAAAGGTAATGATATTATGCATCTATATAAAAAAGAGTTATAATTATATGTTTTGAAAAAGTTATGGCACTTTTAAGTAAAAAAAATTGAAAAAATTTCGAAAATTAGCGATTTTTAAATTTGTAATTTTTTTGAACATTTCCCCCATTTACGGGGAACGGGGGAATTTTTTTCAACTTTTGAGGGTAATGTCTTCGACTAGATACAATTTGTGATCTTTTGACGTATCATTGAAATAAATCGGTTCGGTGAGAGCTGAGAAAAAGAGGTAACAGACACAAAAAAAAAAAAAAAACCCAGCACAGGGGGGTCGCGGCACAGTTGTGACGTGGTATAGTTGGATCAAGTATAATGATATCTGACAGTGATTAAAATCACTATCAAAAATAAACGCTTCGATGCAAATCTTTAGATAGTGTTTAATTTTAAAAAAATTGGTGTTTTATTCCAAAAGCTACTTGATCTGCTGGTTNATCTGACAGTAATTAAAATCACTATAAAAAAAAACGCTTCGATGCAAATTTTTAGATAGTGTTTAATTTTAAAAAATTCATCATCTATAAAAAAAAAATTATATTGATATGTTCATTTTTGAAAAAGTTACCGCACATTTTAGTAAAAATAATTGAAAAAATTCCGAAAATTAGCGATTTTTAAATTTGTAATTTTTTGGAGGTTTTCCCCATTTACAGGGAACGGGGGAATTTTTTTCAATTATTAAGGGTAATGTCTTCGACTAGATACGATTTGTTTTCTTTTGACATATTTTTCATCAAAATCGGTTCAGTGAGAGCTGAGATTGAGTGTATACAGACAAAAAAAAAAAAAAAAAAACATCATAGTAAAACCAATACCTTCCCAGCTTCGCATCGAAGCTAAAAATTTTATCAAATGATAAGGTAAAGACATCATTCATCTATAAAAAAAAAATCATAGTGATTTTACACAAAATCTATGACTGGTTTTCATATGTAAAAAATTCTATACACTCTATATTTTTATTTTAAAATCATAATATTGGTAATTTTTGAAAAAGTTATGGAAGTTTTAAGTAAAATTAATTGAAAATATTTCTAAAATTAACAATTTTTAAATTTGTAATTGTTTTGGAGATTTACTCCGTTTACTAGGAACGAGAGAAATTTTTTCAATTTTTGAGGGTAATGTCTTTGATTAGATACCATTTGTGATCTTTTGACGTATCGTTGAAAGAAATCAGTTCGGTAAGAGCTGAGAAAAAGTGGTAACAGAACCAAAAAAAAACACAACATAATAAAATTAATACCTCTCAGCTTCGCATCAAAGCTAAAAGAGTTACATTACATAATTATTATATTCAAAAATATAATATTTTTGTGTTAAAATTCTTGATATTGTATTTTAATTTCTTTTTATATACCTTAAAAGAAGGTCCACTGTTTTTCATGAAAATTGTATAAAACTAATTGTCATAGAATATAAAGTTAAACTTATTTCAATTTTTTTTTTTCTTTAAAGTCGAAAAAATTAATTTTAACATTTGAATCAGCTTAAATTGCAATTTATAAAAAAAACGA